TTTTGACTTTCGAAGACTTTGAAGTGCTCAATGTGAAAAATTGTTTCTTCCCTGTTTGAAAGATACAGGGTTTTGTGGTTTGACCGAAAGCCAAAGTTAAACCAACAGGCTAGTTCTCACCCATTATTGCAAGAGACATCCCCACATAAAACATGTCCCTCCTTTCCTGTACATGTACATCACTTAATGTTGACAATAGTATGATGCATGGCTTTCAAAATTAATTGCCTTAATTATGCCTGATTTTTAAAATTAATTCAATGTCTAATATGATGCATTATGCAGAATTATTTGCTAACATAATCAAAATTGTTGCAGAAAACAAATGTTGCAGTCTGCTTATTTGACTTATTTTTGTCCCGTTTCCCATGGCAAAGATATGCTCCTTTTGTCTTCATGATGATAAATTGTAAAGAAAACATTCAAAAGGAGTAAAACTGAAACAATTTCATTAAGTGGCGCTTTAGATAGGAAAAACATTTTAAAATTAGAGCATTTAAATGAGAAATGCGCTAAACAGACTATTAAAAACACTTAAGCCCCCAGTATACTCCCGTGTATGTCCATACGCAGAGGTACGCACGTACGTACGCAGAGGTACGAGCGTACCCCCCAGGGCATGTCCGTGCAAAGCTCAATTTTTACGACCGCATACGCGGTGTCGTACAGTAAACTGCCCAGCGACGGACTGTTTTGTATGCAACACCAATGTGTTAAATTCTCCTTCTTCATCCCTGATCTGGCCTTGTCTTTTGCTTTTTTTGCCAAGAGGCAAGAGATTTCCTCCTCCGTTGATGCAATGACTGAAATGGTGAGAAATGAAGGAATTTGTCATGAGGGAATTAAACTCAGGTCCAGCGTTGCTGCGGGAGGGTCTGGAGATTTCCTGGTGGGCTGGTTTGATGTGTGGGCTGCAGAGGTAGCGCTCCGTTTAAAAAAAAAAAGTTTTAGATCTTTTTATTAACAACATATAAACACAGAACATCGCTGTGGCTGAGGCTGCCAGCGCTCGTTTTTTTTTTTTTTTTCCCCGACCTGTCAATCAATCCAATAGGCGTGTCAGCAAATGACCAATCGGCGACCTCAATTTGTCCTGAAGGTAAACGCCCCTTGTCTGTGAAGCTGCTCTGCAGCTGCTCGGGGTGTACGCTGGAGTACGAAGTCTGAACCCTCTGCGTATAGTACACGTGTACGTACGCGTGAACGGATGTACGCGGCAGTATACTGGGGGGCTTTACAGTATGCATATATGGTAGATACTCATCCTATTTATCATTGTATTTTTTTTTTTTTTTTTTTTTTTTTTAGCAATTTAAGTTTTAGAAAGCTACCTGTTCACCTATTGACACTTCCTTGATAAATGCAGTAATTAAGTGGGGGAACCCATATGCCAGACAGTTGCATGTGTGAGGATAGGCGGTCACGGATCTCTGGGTTTCTGTGCAGATAGGGGGAGGGGCAGGCAGCAGTGCAATACTCATTTGTTGTGCAAACTGATCTTTCTCCACGTGTGTCACGTACTATTTTGCTCTTTGCTGGGCAATGCTTACATTATCAGGCTGCAACCTGAAGCCACAACAACTGTCAAATAAGCAATTTCTTTTCTGTTTTTGATTTGAATTTATGTTTCTAGTACAATGATTATTTTAGGTTTAATGTGATTCAAACTCATCAGGGTTTTAGTAAAAAACAAAACAAAAAAAAATCTGCAACTAGGGAGCACAGATCAGTGTATCTCGTTCCTGTCTCAAACCTGGGTAAATGTGAGGGTTGTGTCAGGAAGGGCATCTGACGTAAAACACTTTTGCCAAAACTAATATGTGCGTTCATCTAAATGACACCATATCAGATTGGCTGAGGCCCGGACTAACAATTACTGCCACCGGCGCTGTAGACAAACCGTGTGCCAGCAGAAATTGTGCTACTGTTAGTTGAAGACCACAAGGAGAAAAACATGTCAGGAGACAGGGAAAAGAGGAAAGTCAAGAATGCAGCACTGAGAGTAGAAACTCTAAATGTGGTGACAATGACAGGCAAAGGGAGAGAGTTGACTGACATGATGCAGAGAAGGAAGGTAGATGTTTTATGTGTCCAAGAGACCATGTGGAAGGACAGCAAGGCTTGCAGCATTGGAGCAGGGTTTAAACTGTTTTACCTTGGTGTCGATAGAAAGAGAAATGGAGTAGGGGTGGTCCTGAAAGAAGAGTTGGCAAAGAATCTAGTAGAACACAGGTGTCAACTCCAAGCCTCGAGGGCTGGAGTCCTGCAACTTTTAGATGTGTCTCTGATGCCACACAGCTGAATCAAATAAGGAGGTCATTAGCAGGACTTTGGAGAACTTGACTGCGCTGAGAAGCTAATTCAATCATATGATTCAGCTGTGTGGCATCAGAGACGCATCTAAAAGTTGCAGGACTCTGGCCCTCGAGGCCTGGAGTTTGACACCCCTGTTCGTAGAACAATGTAGTAGAAATGAAAAGAGTATCAGATAGGGTAATGTGTCTGTAAGTAGGGATGGGGCCAATCCGATCCAGTATCGGTATCGGCCTCCAATACCAGCATAATTTACGTATCGGATTTTCCGATCCACCTGCCGATATTTCCGATCCATGATGCATGTTGGCTTCAAACTATGGAATGGATTTCCTGAATGGTGGCGTGTCTCATGAACCCAAAGTAATAAGACCCACCTCACATTCAGGAAATCCATTTCATAGTTTGCAGCCAGCTACAACGTGAGGACTGAGTTAGCAGCGCTGTGGCTAACTGCTAACAAACTTTTCTTCTAAACATGTCCGCTGTGTGGAAGTATTTTACACTAAGCACCACAAAACAAGACAGCATTGTGCAATGTCTGCAGAGCCATAGCGCCACATTAAACCGCAGTAAAGTTAGTTTTACGATGGACTTTTGAGCTCCGTGGCTTCAGCGGGGCACTACTCTTTGCTCAACCCAAAACAAGCGACTCGACACCGGCCAGCCGCGTCCACTCTGCCCTGCTCAGTCTGCCCGTCTCTGAGGAGGGACAAACTGAGCGCGGCTGCCCCAAATCAGGCTGCCTGCTTCGGATTGAACAAGAAGAAGACATCGCTGAAACCACTGAGCTCAAATGTTTACAGAGAAGTTGCTAAACTTCATAATTAATGACCAACAACTATCAGTTGTAGAAAACGAAGGATTTTGCAGCTTGATACTTGCAGCCAAGATATAGTTTACCCTCCAGGAGATATTTATCAGTACAACGGTAAACAATCATAAAAAACATTATTTGAAAATTATATATATTAAAAACAAAAACAGCTACATTATAAAGTGATGTAAAATACTAAAAACAGGAACATGTCTTTTGTTTTATGCCAGGTGTTTGAAGCCATTTAACATTTTATTTTATTTTATTCATTTATTCATTCATTTAAAAGAAACAATAAAAATAAATCAAAAAGAAAACATTGAATGAAAAGAGTGCAGAAAGAAGAAAAAAATTCTTATATCTGCCCCTTATTTAAAAAAATATAAAATAACTTTAAACAATCACTTAAATTACTCACTTTAATATCCACTTTAAAGCTAGGAATAAAAAGAAACATGTTTTGTGTTAGCAGAATTTAATTCTAACTTTAAAACTTATCCAACATTAATAAAACTTACCTCAAGTTGCCTTTTTGGACATGCATGCAAATATTTGTACAAATTGTACTTGAGAGGAGATTATTACAGCCTCATTTAAAATCAATGATGATGAGGATATCGGAACTGGATCGGTATCGGCCGATGTTCAAATTTAGGTATCGGCCGATATTCAAATTTAGGTATCGGGATCGGATCGGAAGTAAAAAAAAAGTGGATCGGTGCATCCCTATCTGTAAGTAGAAGGCCTGATGCTAAATGTTGTATGTGGCTATGCTCCACAGGTTGGATGTGACATAGAGGAGAAAGATAAAATTTGTGAAGGAAACAGGGGATGAGGAAGTGATGGCTAGGTTTGGTGTCAAGGAAAGAAACCAGGAAGGACAGATGGTGGTTCCATTTGCCAATAGAATACTGTACAATAGTTGACTGCAGTCAACACTTATTTCCAAAAGAGGAAGGAACATAGAGTGAGCTATAAGAGTGGAGGCTGGAGGACACAGGCAGACTACATTCTGTGTATAAGAGGAAACCTTAGGGAGATTGGGGACTGTAAGGTTGTGGCAGGAAAGAGTGTGGCCAGACAGCATTGGATTGTTGTGTGAATTACTGTTGTTGTGAAGAAGAGAAAAAGAGTAAAATCAAAGACCACCAAATGGTGGAAGCTGAAGAAAGAAGAATGTTGTGAGAAATTCAGAGAGGAGCTGTTAAAGGCTCTGGGTAGTAAGAAAGATCTTCCAAATGACTGAGCTACTACAGCAACAGTAATTAGAGAGATGGGTAGGAAGGTACTTGGTGGGGTGGGCGATATTGCTCAAATATAATATTGTGATATTTCAGAGCATTCTGACAATAACAATAAATTTTGTGATATAACAAAAAAAACAAAAAACAAATCATAGTTATTCATCAGACAAAATTAACTTAACATGTTGCTTTGCAGTATTATATAAAAACTAAAAAAACAACAAGAGTTAATTTTACTGAAATGATTTTTAGTAAAGTATTCAGTCTCAAAGTATAAAAATAAAAAATAAACATGATCCTTCTGTTATTTAGATTGGAAAAAGTCTGCACAAAATGTAGATCAACAAAATCTACCACAAAAACTAAAGTGCAGGTGCACTTTCCCCCCAAAAAAACAACTAAATAAAATGAAGCTTAAGATCTGTTGAGCATAAATGTAACATTCAACAAAAAATATGTTGTCTTTAAATGAGGAATAACTTACAAAACGTGTGACAAGGTGTCTTCAGCTGACCCTGAAGCTTGTGGTGTTTCAGCTTCCTCTATTCCTGCAGGAATGATTCCATTTCTCTGACTGCTCTGTCTTTGTTCACCTGTCTCTTTTCTTGGTCCATGGACCGACTGTGAAACTCAAGAGACACAGCTAAGCTGCGCGTGTTTGTACCGACAGTTTATATCGGGGAGTGGGGGGAGAGACATAGCCGAGCTGCGCCCACACCGGCAGCCCAGAGCGGGGTGGGGGGAGAGAAAAAAAGCAGAGTCACAAACGCTTGCCCCCAAGAGGGGCAAGGTGCTGGGAGCCACGAGCACCCAGCTCTGTTGATGGAAAATTTTTGTCAGTGGCAGGAAGTTACCGAGAGACGTAATTAAGTTTATCAAAATAAAATAAAAAAATAAAATTTTTGAAAATTATGAAAAAAACATAAATAAGACACTCCTGCATATAAACAGTGGGGTACACAGTGTGAGAAAAAAGTAGCAGCTTGTACACCGTCAATTACGGTAAGTCAGAATCCATTGTCTGTATTCACACAAAGATTCATCCTGTGACTACCTTTTGTTCTATATGCTTTCTGTAGATGACAATGTCAGGAGCTCCATTTGGCCAGCAGTACAGTCAGGCAGGTGTGCAGCAGATGGGAACAGCAGGAATTAACGCCCAACAACTTCAGAACAAGACACCTCTTTCCAACAACTTGCCTCCGTTCCCTACAGAGCTAAAAGGAGCTGGGAATGTGCCAAATATAGTGAGTTCCTACTTCTAATTTGGATGTCATCATTCTTTATTGGAACTTATCACAATCTTATCATCCAGTATGTTAAATTTAGGTTAAATTCCTAATGATCTCATATTGCATAATTTTTTTTTATATTACATTGAATTATTCCTTAAAATTAATAAATTCCTACAATGGTAGTAAATCGATCAACAATCCATAATAAAAAAATTAAAATTCATTTTTTTGTCTAAAACATAAGTGATGGTTTCTGATAAAATGTCCTACTGTTGTTCTACATGGCGTTTAAATGTCTTATATGCTATGCAGTGCAGCAGCTTTTTTTTTTTTAAAAAAAAGGAAAAACAAACAAAATGATAAAACTGAGCTAGCACTATGAGACCTAAACATTTTCATTGTTGAATTGACATGTTTGTTGATGGAAGTGTAAACTGTACTAATCCTTACTTTTCACAAAAGCCTAAATATGACATTACATTATGTGGGTATTACACAATGCCCACATGCAGCTATTGTGAAAATTAAAATGTAATTTATAGTATATTTATATGAGCACGGACAAGTTATGTATGTTTAAAAAAAATGGATATTGGGTGCTTTTTTTTTTTCATTTCTCAATCTTTTGTAGATGCTGACAAACAGTCTGGATTTTTTTAAAGTCAAATAACATTTGATTGATTGTGATCAAGTTAAATCATTATTTTTGACATAAATGAATGTTTAAGACCATATTGATCCTAATGTTAAGGCACTGAAAAGGCTTCAAGTTTCACTTTGACAATACTTGAAAGGTGCTTTATTTCATTTAGCGAAGGTGTAAGAATTACAATATAATATTTTTTATTTACAACCCTAAAATGTTAAAGGAGTTGCATGTATTGTTTTGATTTTTATATTAATTGAATGCATTGTGTACACCCTTGCAGTCCCAGATGCAGCAGCAGGTAGCGTCAATGGGCATGGCCCCTGGAGTCGGTGGTGTGTCAGGAGGACCAACAGCCGACCCTGAAAAGCGAAAACTCATTCAGCAGCAGCTGGTCCTGCTGCTCCACGCACATAAATGCCAGCGGCGAGAACAGGCAAATGGAGAGATGAGGGCCTGTACTCTGCCTCACTGCCGCACCATGAAGAACGTACTCAATCACATGACCCACTGCCAGGCCGGCAAGTCCTGCCAGGGTGAGTATAACTTTAAAACAATCTGATTTTTTCCTTTGTTACAATAAATTAAAAAAATAATACTCATACTCAGTGAATGAACATTATATTTTATTTTAACTTAAGGTACCCAAAAAGGAAATTATTTTTAAATTTAGTTCTTGGAGGTGTGGAAATTATTTAGACTTTTATCTTTTTCCACCTCTGTTATAAATTTTTGAAAAAGTGCAAAAAAAACAAACCCTGTGTGTTTCATGATCTACTGCTTAGCATCATTGTTGTTTTAAAACTTACATATTTATCATCCACCACTGAAGACAAAACCTATGACTATAAGTAAGTAAGACTATAATAGATATAAAATGTGTTTGCGTGTGTGAGCAAAATAACACAAAACAACATGTATTTTAATGAAACTCTTAATTAGGTAAATCATTGGCTGTTCATCTACAACTCATGGTGGCCACATCTACAAGATGGCTGCCACAGCTATCAACCTTAGCAAACATAAAATTGTCTGTACCTTAGTCTATTTTACTGATATTGATGTACAAATTTGGTGGGCTAGTAGCTGAGTCATCCCCAAAACACACTCTGAACAAATCACATTGTGTAAAATCCTTGTTTAAATGTTTGGCATTGACGTCAACCTTGTTTAAGAGCAAATCAGAGGTTTATGTGATCATGAACAAAAAAAAAAAATTGAAACTCAAAGTTATTGCTTGTACATCTACAACTGAGGAGTCCATCAAAGTTAAGATGGCCAACAAAGCTAAACAACATTAGCTAACAAAAGTGGCACAAACTTTGTGAATTTCACATATGCTGAGCTAAAAATGGATTTGTTATATTTGGAGGACTTTGGTCAGTAAAACAATGGCTGTAACCCAGTCATATTTACAAATACTGAGCTAAAGTTTGAAGTGGTAGTTGTTGAAAGTCATCCTTAACACATATTTTGAGCAGTAACACATCTAGCAATATCTCTTAGTATTGCATAAGATTGCACACAACTAGGGCTGCAACTAATGATTATTTCAATAATCGATTCATCAGCCGATTATTTTTTTCGATGAATCGGCAAAAAAAAAAAAAAGTTTTAATTTCCACCCCTTTATTCCAAAATTGAACATTTGACTGACATAGCAATTCACACAAAAAACAGGTTGCTATTTTACTATTCTGTTAGTAAAATATTGAATAATAAAAAAAAAAAGTTAGTCAAATAGCTTAAAAAAAATAAATGTACACAAAAATATATATAAATATATGCTTTATACCTGCACAATATGTAGCTACTTTGTAAAATGTGGCCTTGTTCAAGGGTATGTTTTTCAATAAAATAATTTTGAAAAATTGAAGGTGCATTGTGACCTTATAACACCTGCCAGTGTTGCTTATAGGGCTGCAACTAACGATTATTTCAATAATCGATTCATCGGCCGATTATTTTTTCGATTAATCGATGAATCGGCAAAAGAAAACACAACGTTTTAATTTCCATCCCTTTATTCCAAAATTGAACATTTGACTGACTTAGCAATTCACACAAAAAACAGGTTGCTATTTGACTATTCTGTTAGTAAAATATTGAATAATAAAAAATAAAAGTTAGTCAAATAGCTTAAAAAAATAAATGTACACAAAAATATATACAAATGTGTCTTTATACCTGCACAATATGTAGCTACTTTGTAAAATGTGTCATTGAGGGAAGAGTGTAACCTGGATTGAAAGTGTGGATTATTGTAACCTGGATTGAAAGTGTGGATTATTGTAACCTGGATTAAAAGTGTGGATTATTGTAACCTGGATTAAAAGTGTGGATCATTGTAGTGAAGCTTTCATCTTCAACCAATGACAGAAGCCTCATGTCAGTGACGATCATGTTCAGGATGTTTCAGTGAAGACAGCTGCTGCTGTGGTGTCCATGATGTCTGTTCATCATGAAGGATGTTGTTGTTTGTCGTTTTCTGGAATGAGAGAGTAAATATGTTTTATAGCATAATTTACAGCAACTCAAGAAATGCCTTGTTTCACTTACAGCGTTAGGTTCAGGCAAAAGTAGCTAAAAGAGCAATTAAACACACACACACACATACACACACACATATATATAAAATACTTAATTACACACATTTGAGTAGATGTAATAAATTACTTTAATTCCTGTTTAAATGCAATTCATCCTGCCATACCTGCAGTGTCTTCAGACTTTGCCAACAAATTAAAAGTTGAAGCTTAACCATTAAATTATTATCTTTGTGTTAGATTTATTTATAAATCACATTTAAACACTGCTTGTTCCAATTAAATTAAATAAAAAGTAACACACACGTTCTCTATCACCGCCATTAATCAGATAAACAAACAAACAAACAGCTTCATCTCCCAGACAGACTGACGTTACGTTTTCTCTCTTGAAACAGAACAAATGTTAAATTGTAGAGACTCACCTGCAACAAGAGTTGGGAGTGAGACATGTTGTATCAGCTGCAGCTCGTGACTCCGACATGTTTACGTTTTATCTCCGTGGTTCTCCCGTGTCGTGTCGGTGATTTTCAAAGCGGCATGCTTCTCACTTTTTATCTTTGTGAAGTTCTCCCACTCTTTGGAGGACTTGGGTCGAACAGTTTTCGCTGCGTCGGTCATTTGTAAAATTTACTTAAATTTCCTTTAAAAACACCGCCACTGCTCTGCTCCCCCCTCGCTCTGTTCAACTCGCGCTGCAGTTTTTTTTTTTCAAACTTTATTCAGTCAGTCAGCGTTGACAATGAACTGCCCGTGAACAAAACCAAACGGCTCCGCAGCACGGTGAAAGATGCATAATCGCGCGACACAACGAATCGATAACGAAATTCATTGCCAACGCTTTTAATCATCGATTTTTATCGATTTTATCGATTCGTTGTTGCAGCCCTAGTTGCTTATATAACAAAATCGGTATCGGCCAAAATCGGAATCGGCAGGTTATACTTTTTAGAAATTTGTGATAGGTGATCAGCCAGAAAACTGCAATCGGTGCACCCCTACTTTTCAGAGCTTTCCAAACTTCACCCTCACTAATTTTTCCCACTTCCTAGTTCACAGTTTCTATGACCTCTACTCTTCTTTGTCTTTTGTTCTCTTCATTCATTAGCTCCTCAAAGTACTCCTTCCATCTTCCCGTCATGGTCTCCTCACTTGTTAGAGCATTGCCATTCATGTTTTTAACAAACCTAACCTGTTGCACATCCTTTCTGGCCTGATCCCTCTTTCTCGCTCATCGGCACATGTCCAACCTTTGCCTCTCATTGTCCCCACTTTTAAGAATTGCCGCCCTCAGTCCTACATTCTTGACTTTTCTCCTTTCCTTGTGTCTCCTGACACTTTTCCCTCTTCGTGGTCTTCGACTAACAGTAGCACAATTTCTGCCAGCACTCAGTTAATAGCACCAGTGGCGGTTGTTGTTAACTCGGGCCTTGACCGATCTGTATGATGTCGCTTAAATAAACTTGCATTTTAGTTTTGACAAATGTTTTACATCAGATGCCCTTCCTGACACAACCTTCACCGTTTACCTGGCTTGAGACAGGCACAAGAGATTCACTGACTTGTGCTCCCTAGTGACATTTAAGGACTAGTAATCCAACATCTTGTTCTATAAATGTATTTCATTGTTTACTGTTTTGCACAATGTAAAGTTGAAAAGCTTTGTATAGTTGAGTTTTATTGCTTTAGTAAAATGACTCTCAGCCCCTTTTTTTCTCTACCCCTTCTGACTGACAACATCTGCCAACGAAAATTTATTTTCTTTAAGTGTTGCCAGGATGGCTGCACTACATTTAATGATTTCAATTGTTTGACAGCAGCAGCTTTCAGCTGTGGGAAGTAAGAAGGTCATATATATATATATATATATATATATAT